AGGATGGAAGGAGTAGTAGGGATATAAAGCAGAGGATAGCGCAGGGTCGTGTCGCCTTTAATAAAAAGCCGTCACTTCTATGCTCGCGAACGGTTAATTTAGAAATTAGAAAAAGGTTGTTAAAGGTGTATGTTTGGAGCACGCAATTGTACGGGTGCGAAACATGGACATTGGGCGCGGCGGAAAAGAAAAGGTTAGAAGCGTTATAAATGTGGTATTATAGGCGGATGATGAGGATATCGTGGGTAGAAAAGGTTAGAAATAAAGAGGTATTAGAAAGAATAGGAGAACAGAGGACTCTATGGAACTCAATATGAAATAGGCGAGATAGGTTGGTAGGACACCTTCTTAGGCATGAAGGTCTAGTCAGAGACATATTAGAGGCAGAAACAGGAGTTAGGAGGGGTAGAGGTAGACCTAGATTAGATTACTGTTCGCAAATAGTTAAGGATGTGGGCTGTTCTAGTTTTAGGGAAATGCGAAAATTAGCTCAGGATAGGAAAGATTGGAGGTACGTGTCCAACCAGTCTTAGGACTGACGACCTTATGATGATGATGATGTATAATAATTGTTACAAATTGAAGCAGTTTTATATTGATAAAGTTCATACAATTTTGCGTCGTGTTGATCGGTAATTTCTCCATCGTTTTTGAGATCGTTATTTAATATTAAAGGACGTCGTATTCAAGTCTCTCTGTTATTTTCTAAAATTTATTTTTCCTCGGAAAGGAGCTACTGCTTTTACTTTACGAAGTATGAATAATGACTGCAAAGCTAACGAGATCCATGATTTAATACACCGGCCTCTTTATTAAATTTATTATCCTTTTCGGTAATAACGATTGTGTTCCTCGAGCTGTAATTTGAACCAAATTTTCAAATTTTGCGACTGCCGTGGTCGTCGCACAGTGACGCAACTGGCAGAAACAAAAATTACAACAAAAACTGTCTCTCTCATATGAAAATGTAAAAAATAAATAGAAATGAAACAAACATATTGGTATGCAAGAGATGAAAACGTAGGAAAAGTGTGAATATAAAGACAGGGGACAAAAAATTAAAAGGAGTCACTGATTTTTAGTATCTTGGCATTCAGATAATTCAAGATGTAAAGAGTAGTAGAAATATAAAATAAGGGATAGTCCAGGGTCGAGTCACCTTTAAGGAAAAGAAGTCACTCCTGTAGGGAGGGAATATCGTAAACACAGAAAAGAGATGCCAGATAGGAGTTGCAGCGGACATCGATAAAGAGTGTAACCGAAAGAGATGCAGACAAACATGTTACCGCGTTTAAAGATATAATTCCAACCAGGCAATTGTAAAGCCGACCCTAATCTTATGCGTACCTCAGCAACCCCTAACCGCTGCACCGCTTACGAGGGCGTATTTAAAACGCAGCAAATGACTACAGTCCCAGTGAAGTGGAAATGAGAAAGAAAATACGTCCATTTTCACAGATAATTAATTGCGGACTTTGTCAGCTTTGATCATTCCAACTATATGTGTGTTTTTCTAAGGGAGAGAGAGAGAGACAAGGAGCTGTTCATGCTAATAACTGCACACAGATTAACTGATCCGATCTTTGCAGTTCCTTCCAATTGGTAGTTTTGAAACTTTCCACAAGTGAACGAAATGGTGTCAGTAAATGTCAAGATCGTTGGCAAATCGCAGGAGGAACTCAATGCACTCAGGGTGAGTTAAATAAAATTCAATAAAATCCTTTCTTTTTGTAATAATGCCGATCGTGGGACAATTTGAATTGAACTCCAAAAGAAAACGCAGGTAACCACCCAGGACAAAAANGAGCTCTCAAAGCATATAAAAATTATACAGCTTAAATGTGAAGTTGGGTGCAAAAGAATACAATTAAATCCTCTGTCGGGAAAAAACGAAATGACTTTCCGAACAACCCTATAGGTACTTAAGTCTGTTACCGAAAAGAACTTCAGATTCAGTAAAGTAGTAGTGTTTTAGGGTTCGAATTTTCTATTTTAGCAAGTGTCTGTATTATATTGCTTAAAATGGGTGGAAAATCGAGCGGTTTTGTATCTCAAACAAAATAAACATTGTTCGTTACAGTTTGGAATTAAAATTTATGTTAAAGATCAATAAAACTCCACGCGCTGCTAAAGAATGCGGCCAATCCTCGGGGGACACCCGTGGACAGAAGAATATGTTAAAGATATTTCGCACATTTGGCTTTAATCCAAACGATTAGTAATTTATGGGGCTTAAAGGAAATGGCAGCGGCATCTAACACACCTAACACGTGTTTTGTTACCAATTTTATAGGGTGATTTAAACGTTAAACGATATGCACACTTTTCAACTATTTGTAAACAAAAGCCACTAGACACCACTTAAAAGGGAAGGTCAAAATAACTAAAATAGTTCTATTTTAATTTAATTTACATTGCAAGTACGTATATACGTATTTACCTCTACCGTAGGTGTAAAGTATAATTTTAGATTTTTCTACACGCAATAGAATTTTTAATTTAATTTAACGTAATTTTTCAAAAAGTTTCATATTTGTTTATCTTTCAGGAAGAGCGCAAACGAACTGGGCGACTGGTAGCGTCTGGAGCGGCGCTGTTTATTATTCTTTTGGGGGTGTACCAGGCCCTAGCAGGGGAGACCCCCCAATACGCTGCGTTGTTCCTCCCCGCCATCATCATGTTTTCTTACGTAGGATGGGTTTTATATACGTCGAAAAATCAACGGAATGTTTTAATTGTAAGTAACAACACACAACAGGTAGTTTCTGTTGATAAACTTGTTGAGGAATGAGAGGTTCTTCCCTCGCATTCGTCCTTATTTTATGATTTTAATGAATGTTTCACATTACCTAAAAAAAACACAATTAAGAAATAAGCGAGATGGGTTGGTATAGTTGGAACAATCAAAATAGGAAAAGTCTGCAGCAAATTATCTACGAGAATGGACGCATCTTCTTTCTCGTTTCCACTTGAGACTGTAGTCATTTGCTGCGTTTGGAACATGCCTTTGTTAAGTTAGGAAGTGCTTCATGAGTAGTATAAACAAAGTGAAAAGAGATAACCGAATAATAGTAAGCGGTGCAGCGATTAGGGATGCTGAGGTACGCATAAGATCAGGGTCGGCTTTACAACTGCCTCGTTGGAATCATATCTTTAAACAAGCGTCTCTGTTTTCCTAAATTCCTAAGAATGTTGAACATTTTTGAAAGTCTGATGTATGCAACATGCTCAAATTCTAGTTGTTTGCATCTCTTTCTGTTACATATCAATCGGTGTAATACTATCCTTTTTCTTTATGTGTCCGCTGCAATTCCTATCTGACATCTCTTTTCTATGTTTACGATATTCCTTCGCTACAACGTCTGTCCTGAGTGAAAGTAGGCGTTCTATCAGCAACCGCTATAACTCTAGTTAGTAGTTCAAAGAAGAAAGTAAATGTGACACTTTTATTGCGAACTACGTCAATTTTCAACATCCCAACTGTACATGGGACAACTTCTCAAGCACGAAGGGCTACACAGGGACATATTAGAAGCAGAAACAGAAGTTAAGAGGAGTAGATGTAGACCGAAATTAGATTAGAATTCACAAATAGTTAAGGATGTGGGTTGTTTTAGATTTAGGGAAATGCGAAGATTATCTTAGGATATGAAATAGTAGAAGTACCTACGTGTCCAACCAGTCTTAGGACTGAGGATCTTATAATGATCATCATATTAACTGAATTTTAGAGAAGAACAAAACCTTAATAGTTTTAGCATTATTAATAAATCGCCCGAAAGCTTGGAATGTTTAATAACCAAATACCTACATGTATCTATAGTGAATGTTTAAAAATATGATCGGCATTTTTGAAAGTTTTGATTAAAATCGTTTAACATCTAATTTGGGGTCTTGTTACTTGTGTTCGAGAATTTACAGCATTTAAGGCGCGATATATGAAAATAAACAAGGCATCTCCAGAGTCAGCACAGACACCAACACACTCAAGACATGTACGCAGCAGTGTTAAATTCTCCAGATGAGAAAATTAACTTAACGGAATTCGCATTCCAGAAAAGTTTTCTTCTAAAACGGGAAACACTCCCGTAGGCGCCACACAGTAGGCGTTATAAACTGTCTAAGAACGACTTCGATATTCAGATAGAGCTAATTCAAAATTTCATGAGTCTTCATATACGTAAAAGATCGATCGTATTGTACCTACGTTAGGAAAACGTCTACTCGTCTATTAAACATGTGGCTTGCTACACAATCAGATAAGAAATAGAAATATAGAAATTTCAAGCAAACATCAAGGACCATGGTTTTCTGAATTACCTCTAGAGATAAGAAATAGAAATATAGAAATTGCAAGCAAACATCAAGGACCATGGCATTCTGAATTACCTCTAGCGTGACAAGAAATTTTACTTAGGAAATCAATTTTAATGAAAAAATAACCGAAAAAGTTTCTTGAATACAATTTACTCCATTTTGGAGTGGTTTAAATGAGGTATTATAAGGGAAAAGTTTTTAAAAATAACTTAAATAAACACTTTCAATCTTTTTCTTATTATAAGTATAAATTAGTAATATTCTACCCTGTTCAACATTAACTATTCCGAAAGTAATATCGTAAATGCAAAGTAGATTCCTTCTAGGCAATCAAATTACGTTGGACAAACAGGAAGATCATTCCACGAAAGGATTAAACAACGTTCTAAAGAAAATAATTAGACATAAATTTCTTTTAGGCTTATGACTAAAAGCAATTTTATTTTCGGATACGTCATGAATTTGTCGTAATAACTACCCTTCTGTATTCAAAAGGTTGTCATTTTATTTTTTGTAGCCTATTACATCTCCAGAGGGCCAGGAGTTAGAAGAAGTGATTTTAGATTCAGAATCGGTTACGAAATCTAATACCAACTTGTTGCAAGTAAAACCCCCTAGTCCTCCCCCACCCCCTGCTTCAGCAGCAACATCTGAACAACTAAAAAACAACAGGAAAGTGGAAAAAAGGAAAGAGTTCCAGCCTAGGACTCATAAAACGTTTCATCGCACTTACTCTATCGCGTAATAACATTTACATAAGTATTCATTATTTATAGTCGGAAATTTTCTTAACTTTCTTTGGGCATTTTCGGTTCAATTTCCTTTTATATTAATTATATTAAGAAATGCATGAAATTTATTAAAATTGTATTCTAATCTGTCCTGTAAGTTTATCTTTTCTGTGATATAAATTCGACCCAAAATTTGACTGAAAATAATTGAATTGAATAATTACTCGAACAGAAATTTGGATTTCTGATCCGGGCCCAATTAAAATTATGTTATCCGGGGTCTATTTAAAGTCAAGCGGTCCCAGAGTCGGGTATAATCAGTAATCATAGTGTAGAATCACAAATGTGCATTTATTCATTCTAATTAATCATATATTTAATTATTTATTGTCTTAATGCAACCTTAAAAGTGTTTATAAAATTTATACAAATGTTGTACATAATAAATGAACACAATACAATAAATTATTATTATCTGCAACGTTTTTAAACAATCATAATCACCCACCAAAACAACTACGTGTAAGTACCAATTCAGTTATATTGAAAAGACACGAACGAAACGAATTTCTTCCAAAAACCCAGAAATAAGAAAAGTACATTTCCCTCGGTTTGATTCTATTCTGTTCTTTCACTCCGATACACAAAACGGATATTTACCTAATTCCTTTGATAGCCCTTTGTTTATCAAAGGAAACAATATCTCTTTCATTTGTTCTCTCTTCATTGTTGTTGATAATATGCACAAGACAATACGTAACAAGAAGTTCAAATTAGCAATTAGCTAGCAAAAAGAAATCCTAATGGACGACTGGTGGATGATGCTGATGAGGTCGCACGTAAAGGCATTTAACCACTCCCAATACTATTCTTATATTACTGTTTTTGGTAAGTATCATTATAAGTTATAAAGAGCAATTATTTGCAGAATCCCGCGAGAACTTTTAAGCATCAGGTATTTAAAATAACACTCGTCTCTTTTTAACTATAATTTGTAATTAACTGTATAATATATTTAAAAATATAGGGATGAGTTACAAAGATAGGAGAGTGATACTTAATTTGTATAAAGAGCAACAGGCAGTTATAGAGCT